CATCCATGCATCCTCATTCAAACCTAGGAAAAGAGCAGGGAACGATTATCTCAGCAAGCAATTATTTCAGGTGTTCCTCCAACCTTTGTATGCACGAACCATCTGGTGTTTTTCTGGGTGAGGATAAAATATTACCCTGGACGGTGGCAAAAATATCCACACCGGTGAAGAAGGAAAACAAGGAAATTTGGTACCACATGGAAGATGGTGCACACCAAAGCCATCGCCGTCAGTGAATCCTTACAGGATACGTCAAGCCCACAACCTGGAAAAGCAAGGAACCAACTCATTTGTTTTCCTTCCCTTAGAGGGAAGAGTCCATTTCCCCCTCTAAATTTGGAAAGAACGAGATACTAGAAGAGACTAGATCTACATTGCTCAATCTGCACTGCTGTGCAATTAAGAAATGTAGTTCCCTCCTGAGTCTTCCTTCCAGTTGTACATCTGTTCTTATATCCTCAAACAGCAATATCCACTTTATGTTGATAATTAATAGATTCTTCTTCAGCTCACCTAACTTTGCTTTTGCATTTGGTTTGCTCTATTATGCAACTTCTGTCTAGTTAAATTGATAACACCTGGACCTCTATTATTCCACTTCCTTTCAGAATGAAGGGGAAATTGAGCCCATTCTTTTAACAGTATTGGGAAATTATTTCCCCCTCAGTATCACATGAAACTGAGCTGTGCAGGAAAACTAATAGATTTGGGAATCTGGGGCAATGTCACATTAATCAGATCTGATCTCTAAAACTTGCTGAATTTATGCTGGTGGGCAGTTGGCATTCAGGTTGGATCACTCATAGAGTCCAGTCTTGTGTCTTGCTATATGATAACTGGCAAAACAAACAAACAAGCATCCCCACCCTCATGCAAAGCAAAGTCATGGTAAACATTTACTCTTGGCTGAAGAATGTGATTAGCCTTCTTTTTTTTCCTTTAGATTCTCTGCCACTCTTTTCACACACCTGTTATCTGCTTTAGCAGTGAGTCTTCTCCCATCTGTAAAACAAATTGTAGCTTTCACAAGAGTTATGGATGGTATGGGATTTTTCCTTTGGAGTGTTTTAAAGTGCTCTGTCTCCTTCTGCAAGCTTCCGATATACTTATTCCACTGCAGAAATCTCCCTTCTACAGCTTGTAAATATCCAGCTAGCTATCCTAGCAGTTTCTTCAAGTTCATTAAGTAGTGATGTATCAATCTTCTGATCAGGCTTTTTCTCTCTCTCAAGTGAATCTTCTTCCCCATAAGACAAATCCCTTATTTTTCTTTGCTACTTCCCCCTTAGTTTTCTTCCAAAAAATAAAAATAAAGCCTTGATAGGAAGCAAATAATCTGTATCCAAAATCAATTTTATCCTTTTCTGATTGTAGATAGCTATCTTTAACATGTATCTGACTTGCTATAAATCAAGTCAGATACATGTTAAATCAATAAAAACCAACAAATGGGACAGTAAACCTCAGTTAGGAGGGTCTAGCATAATTTTCCTTGGCCTGTAGTGCTAATTTAGTAGTCATAGGAGTCCTTTATATATTTGGCTCAATTTTTAAAAACTTGTATGCTTCATTTGCAAGGAGAAGAAGCACAAACACAGGTCTGTAGGTGTGCATATAAGTTTGGTGAAGAGTCTATGACAGTTTATGTATGAAATAATACACTCAAATCACACCAGCTGCTGTAAACTTGGGTAACTAGTAATTCTCAGGGGGTTTTAATGTCATTTGTTAGATGGCGATTTAGTTTATGTGCATACACATATGCGCACACACCATTTAATTATGAACATGCATAATGTGTATTGTAATAATCACTGCAGTACAACATACACTGTGAAGTTTTCTCTGTATAGAGGTGCTGCCTATATTACCCAGTGAGTCAGACAATGCTCAAGGTGAGCAATTGAGATTTATTATCATCTTTCTCTGGCATAGAAAAAGCAGAGCAGTGCTATGCATGCAAAACTTTAAGGTGACAAGGAGACTGCATTACACTAGGTCATGCTTAGTCTTTATCTTTTTGTTTTCAAGGGCATTCTTTCAAAAATGCTATAAACATGCTACCTTAATTTTCATAACCCACAAAAAGGGTCTGAAATAAGTCTGGACTGAAGTTTTCCCTACTTCCTACTTATGTTTAAGAATAACATAAGAAGAGCCATGTTATGTCAGACCAGAAGCCTACCTAGACCAGCATTCTCAGTGGCTGGTCAGATGCCTGTGATAAGTCATCAATCAGGACCTGAGTCTAGTAGGACCTGCCATCCCAGGTTCCCTAGCAAGCCGTACTGAGAGGTGCCCTGGCTCTGACATTCAAGGTAGCCATAATGGCTAGTAGGCACTAAGAGCCTTATCTTTAAAGAGTTTACCCAAAATAATGTCTCTACTGCAAGAACAGGGGCCTATGTGTTACTGATTTCTTGGGCAGAGATAAACAAGCTTCCTGAAATGTTCATTGTGTATTCTAGCTTACAATACTTCATCTGATAAAATGGCCAAGCCTTTTTTCAGTGTTTCTTATTTTTTTAAACTCGCAATGGCATGATGCCCTCTGCACAGTTCCAGAACGCCCTCAGAGAAACATGATGTAGTATTACTCCAGAGCCATTCTAGAAATTGCTGTCCATGGGAATTGACCGAGTGTACCTTACATTGCTGTGGAAAATTTGTGTAAAAACCCCCCACAGAATTTATAGTTTATCAGCATAAAAATAGATGATGGAAAAGCAAGGGGGGAGTGTTTCTGGCAGAGAACTCTGCAGTATGTCCAAGGCAGTGAGATACAGAAAATGTCTTCTTTTGATAGTGAAGTGCCTAAAACGGATAAAGCCTGGGCTTTTCAACAAAATAGATGACACAGAAATAAAAACTATAATGAGCTTATATTTTTGTCTCTGACAAAGCAGTGTATATGCTGCAATTTAAATGCAAATAATTGAATGAATCTAATACAAAATGAATGGGAGAAGATTCTTGTTATAATAATACACAACAAAAGAAGTAAAACAAGTCTAGGTTTCTTGGAAAGCAGGACAAGAAATAAGGTCAAAATACTTAATTATAACCCAATCAACCTTTTCTGAGCTTTGTGTCAGTTTTACTTTTGAAAACCAAACATGTATTTGTTTCTCAAGCACAGGCTTTAAGACAGGCGCTATTCTATCACTGTATTAAAAGGATAAAAGTTGATTGTTTGATCTTCTGCATTTTAATGTGTCGAAAAGATTATTGGAACGAAAATTGCATTCTCTGAAGTGACAGAAACATTATTCAGATAGCTTTAATTACATGATAGATTTTTTTTCCTGAACACATTCATAATGGTGTGTATTCCAATTTGGGTTTGTAACAGAGTGGCTTTAAAGATCTGAGAAATTATAAACAAAA